CCCCCATTGTGAAAATGATGTTCTTGTGATACGTCATTTAGTTTTTCCATGCTATAATAAGTGTTTACTTCAGTATTTCCACGTTTTAAAATCGAACGCACTGTGTTGCGAGATGCTGAATCGACATTCAAAGAATCCGTTGAAATTTTTAGACTCATTGTTGATAAATTATTTTTTGGCGATAGCTTGGCGACATCATTTAAATTTGTTTGTGAAACACTTTTTGAGTTAAACAAGTTATCACATTTTTCGTCGTTTATTTGAAGCGATATTTCAGATTTATTTTGATCTACTGAATCATTGCATGCTAGATTGCTTTCTGATAAACTTGTTTTAAACTGTTTTTGAACTTCTAAATTTTGAACATCTAAATTATTAATTGTATCTGGTATTTTAGGTACTTTATCCGTTTTATCCGTTAAAGAATCAGCATTACTATCCGTAAGTCCAGTTAAAGTATTAGGTTGACTTGTAACAGGTAATATTGTTGTCTTCATTTTAATAAAAACTGAACTTAAATATTTCCAAGAACTTTTTACAATATTAGGTTGTACTTCCGAACTTGTGACGTTTGATTGCGCTTGTGAATTTTCTGAAATCACAGATAAATGTTCATTTATAATCTCTGGACTTTTTTCTGTGATATTAGTAGTTAAATGTTTTTTATTTGGGGAACTATTTTCAATATTTAAACTTTGGGAGTCGGATAAAGGTTGAGGGATTTCTGTCTTTGGCTGAGAAGTCTCAAGGGTTTGTTCAACCAATGTAACTTCGTTGGTACTTTGCAGTGTCATATTTTCATTTTCGCTACATACATTAACTATATCATTAATTGGAGGTGTAATTAAACTGTCTTCTTTTGTACATTCTTTTTCAGGCGCAAATTCATTTTGATTAAATTTTTCTTGAGCTTGACAATCTGAGTTATTTTTATTCCGCTTTTCTTTTGTTGATTTCGGTACAAGCTGATGGAACCATTTTATTATATTAAGCTTCATATTAATATTTCTTCAGAGGAATTTTTAGGCGACCAATTATATTCATTTTACATTTTTGCTAAACACCTTTTTGTAAAAAACTTTTAAGTAGCGGATTCTTCATTTGAAAAAAATCCGCACTGTATCATTTATTAACAATGTTCTTCCTCTTTTCATCCAATGTTTTTAATGTTTTATTGCAACTTTTGAGTATCTTATTTTTAATTCAACATAAAACCATTTGCATATAAATAATTTGTATTGCAATACAGTTGCTGGCTGATGTATTGAGAGTTGCTATGTAACTGTGTTTTTAAAAAGGTATTTCATTTTTGTTTTTTTACGTGTCGCTTGTGATATATTTCTCAAGCATATATATTCAAAAAGTTATGGTTAAAAATGTTTTATAATGAATATATATATATATATATATATACACATACATATATATATATATATATATATATATATATATATATATATATATATATATATATATATATATATATATATATATATATATGTATATATATGTATATTATATATATATATATATATATATATATATATATATATATATATATATATATATATATATATATATATATATATATATATATATATATATATATATATATATATATATATATATATATATATATATATATATATATGATTTCTTAAGTTCTTAAAGATAAATGTGACAAAAGTTTTGCAGCGAATATCTTAACATTTAATAAGTCTTTTTTTAATAGATGTTACAAAATTTAGTTTAGAGGAAGTACGCATATTTTCTGTTGAATATTTAAAAACTCCCGAAAACAAAAAGAATAACACGTGTCAAGTATCAAAGATTTCAATAACAATTAACTATTACTATTTACCAAAACAACAACTTAAATATTAAGTTTTTGCTAATAGTTTCATAATTATAGAAACCTAGTATAAGTGTATACCCATTGGCATACCTACTTTTATTTTCAGACACGTGTTCGCCACGATCCAGGCATAAATCAAAAACACATTGATTTAACAAGCAGTTTCACAACTGGCTTTTAATAAGCTTTTAAAGTCAAATTTAAAATGCCAGATGCTGTTATTATAAGTTTCACATTCGTCGCGGAAACTAAGTATAATATTATATTAACGGTGAAACCATTAATTAAAGTTGTTATTCGAACTATTCCTATCATTATAATATCCTCAGTATATCATATAAGTTATATTAGCTATTGAAACATTGCCTGAGCAAATACTCCCTTTTAAAACTAATGCGCGTCTTAAAAAAAACAGTGCTAATTCACTGATTAGAAAGCTTGGAATGGTAAATGTTGATAAATTAAATATTTTTAGTATTCCTTTATTCATGTTCAGAAAAAGATATTATATACCAAATATTGTTGAGACCTTTTCTTTATTTTAGTTCATAAATATCAAATAAAGCATTCATTGCATAATTATCAGAAAAACAATCTAAATTCTCAATAACATACAGAGAGCCACATTTATGGAACTCATTTCTTCCAAATAATAGTAAAACTGTAACTTCAATTCGAATTTTTTTAAAAGCAGTCATTTGATTATGACGTATCTCAAACTCTATTTTATTTATAAAATATTCTCTTTTACTTTTTAACTCTTCCGTTTCATAAAAAGCACTGACGTTTTTAAAGCTAACATTTTTTACCTCATTATTTATCTTTAAAATTTTATTTTTACATTTCATGTATTCGATTCCTGCAGTAATAAGTCAACTTTTTAGGCCCTTTGGTGGTTTCATTTTGATAACATTTTGTTAAGTTAAACGATAAACTTTATGAAACAAAAAATAGTGGTATTAATATTTTAGGATGAAATTCAAACGTTGAAACAACTCTTTTGAAAAAAATGAAATAATTTCAAAAATTGATCAGATTAATCTTGTAATCAAAACAATTAAATGTCAATCGATAACATTTAATTGCAGAAAAATAAATTAAATATCATAGGATAAAATTTAATTGCAGAAAGGCTGAAAAAAATGGAAAATATTTTTATTTAAAAAGCATGCAAAGGTCACAGATTAATTGTGAGGATTCTGCATATTGCGACCTTAGAATTATTTTGCTTTATCACATTTTTGAGTCTTCAGATAAAACAATTTAAAAATAAAAACTTTATGAGACGGCATATGAAAACATTTTTACAAATAAAATTTTCTCGTCAACTCTTGTACTTTTTACTTTGGTTTTAATGCAGTAGAAAAACATTATTCTGAGATTAATAACACTATCAATAAATCATTTTTTTCAAAAAACGGAAGTAAAACAAGATAATTCTAACGTCGCGATATTACAGCGATAAACTTGTCATTTAAAATCATCAATCTGCTTCAATCACCGGGTCCGACGACGCGGATTTCGAAGTGGAGGTGTACAATCGTCAGTTTTTGAAAAAAGTACTCTACATCTAAAATTTTCTTAAAAAAAAAAAAGTTCCTCTATAAAAAAAAGTGTGTATGTGGGGGAGGGGAGGGAGCAAGTGCCCCTTTGCCCCTCCCCCTCCTACGTGTCGTCGGCTCTGATCACGTATGAAAAACCAAATCTTTTAAAAGTGATTGACAATTATAAAGGTCTAAAAAAAAATACTAATCATTATCATTATCTTACGAAGAAAAATAATTTCCCATTTTTACCAAAGGAACAATTGTGTTTACATCTGACTATATATACAAAATGATGCGTTCAGCGGAAATAAAACTTAAAAAGTACTCCATATTGTAAAATTGCAAAGACTAGGACAACATTAAAAAAAAGGGAGATTTCTCTATTGATTACCACGTTTTACAGAAATCTAAGCTGCAAGCTGTTTAACTTCATTAATCATGTTCCATTGATCTATCTAGTTTTTTTTCATATAATTCAAATCTTTAGAACTATTTAGGTCTTCTTTGCTACCTACAGACAATCATGGCTCACTAGTTAATGAAGGTAAAATACTAGTATGGTCAAATATAAAAACATTAATATGGTCAACTAATAAACTTGTTGGAGTTATTGATAGTAAGTTTTTAGGCAACTTATTACCTTTTAGTCACTTATTAATTTTTTTAAAATGCCTTTCTCACTTGTGCGATCTATATTATAGCTAACGAAAAAAAAAACATACGGATCAAAAGGATTATTTTTCATTAGTGATAAAATATTAGTTAACAATAATGAATTAGTATTAGGTATTTAATATAAATCTTCTGAATTTACATTTTGTGCCTGTGTTATTATATGGTAATATTATAATAAATATCATGTGTAATATATAATAATGTGTTTATTATAATACCTTTGTTAGGTTATAAAACAAATACTGATAGTATCTGGTTTACTGTTTTAGTGACGCGATATTTGTTAAAATTTAATAGATATCATGTATTCAGAAGTATATAAATAATTTATAAAATTCTGAATAATGCAAATGATACATTAGTTTTTGTTTATTTGACGCAGACTTCAATCAGCCTACCAACGGCCAACGATAACTTTTTAATACAAGACTTTTAATAAAATTTTATTTTGAAGTATTACGATTAGTATCAATATTACAATTAGTATCAGTATAACTATCATAATTAAAAACACATTAATGCCCTCCCTGGCCTGCCTCCCTGGGTTTATATATAAAACCGAAAAAAGTTAGTAAAGTATCTGAGCAAGCTTTTTCCTTAATAAAGTTTGATATTTAGTAAAAAAAAACAACTTATGAATATGAGAAAACAAATAAAATGATATAAAGTAGCAAAGGATGCTGAGATTTTTTTATTTACATTTTTTTCATTATTTAAAATTATATAAATATAAATATATATTATATATATATATATATATATATATATATATATATATATATATATATATATATATATATATATATATATATATATATATATATATATATATATATATATATATATATATATATATATATATATATATATATATATATATATATAAATTGGGTGCAATTTTTGCAGATGGCGCCAAGTATCACTGTGCGTTGACATTTCCCAGTGGGCACCGGGCCAAAAATAGACGTCTTTTAAACGTTCAAAAGACGTCCAAAACGTTCAAAAAACGTTCAAAAAAATGTAGATATATTGTGAACTAGTTGTCAACAAGACAATAAACACCTCGAGAACATTAATTTATTGTTACTACTTATTTGACAAATTTTTGTGAATTTTGTTATCGCTTTTCCTGTCGTTGTGTTCCATATGCTAACAGCCCCAAACTTTTTTCTTTAGAAATTTTTAAAATCTTGCATTTACCACAAAAAACCACGAACCTTGCAAGACTTAAAAACTTTGAAGAAGAAGTTGCCAATTTGGAGTTAGATGTATTGCAAGCACCGATTCATAATTTGTTTTTATTTTTATTTTATAGTTAATTTTATATAGTTGTTGGTATTTAAGTCACTTGTAACTTGGGGTTGCAAATTTTTATTACAATGGCTAAAATTTTCGTTGAGCATTTAAAAGATAAAAAATTTATATAATCACTATTTAACTGTTTTATTGGGTTTAGAATAATGATGCTCCCGTTGAAATAGATACACCCGTTGAATGATGGTTCCACGTTTAACCGATGCATGCGTTGAATACTTCAATGAGAACTTTCTCAATATCTTTAATACATTAAAAGTTTTAAACCGTCTTGATATTTTTGATATCATCAAACATGCTTGATATTCAGAAAGCTTTGATTCCAGCTACAAAAGGTCGGAAGTTCCGATTGATTGCACACTTCCAGCTCTGATAATTTTAAATGACAAGTTATAACGAAGATTTAAATTTAGAACGCGGTGCGTTTAATCGAACGCGGTGCTTTTAAGTAAATGCGCTTTGCGTTTTAAGTAGTGTTTTTTGTTTTTAATTATTAAAAAGTATTAAAAACTAAAACATTTTATAAAAGTTGTTTGTAGCTTATAAATTAAAAATATAATTAAATTCATGATTAATGAATTATTTTTTTGTTAATTATTAAAGTTTGTACAAACAGTACTCAAGCTTTTTTTTTTTTTTTTTTTTTTTGATTTATTTATTTCGTCATTAAATGAATAATCTTTTACAATGTTTTTTTACAACATAAAAATTATAACATTAAAGTTTCGACCGGAGCTGGCAGAAGACATGATCTTATCATCCAGCCCCGTTAATATAACTAAAAAATTCAGCCGATAAAAATGAAAAAGGAAAAAAGAAACTAAAACCATGACTGATTTTAAGAAGAAAAGAACTTAAAAATCAAATTATTATTTACAGAAAGAGAAAAAAAAAAAAAAAAAAAATATTAATTATTTCTTCTCATTATTATTATTATTATTTTTTAATTCTCTATTTTATTCGACAATTTTTATTATACACGCACGCACACACACATACGCACACGTACACACAAATATATGTCCGTTCGTATATACATACAAATCAAATAAATCTGTATTACATTCCATCTACAAATTGCGTAAGATATAATAAATATTGCATTTACAAATTACGTTATTATTGTAAAATAAAATAAAATCTTACATGTTCTAAGTACCATACAATATAATTGTGATATTGAGTCAATTTATAAGACATTAAATAACTAAGATTACCAAAAGTTTTTAATAATACGATAGTAATTGCTTTGTGTCAAAACCAAATAAGTGTTGTTTTGTTGCACGTTTAAAATGTTGAGTTGAATTTAAAGTTTTTATTACTTGTTAAAAGCAAGTTCCATAACCGCGGCCCTCGGCAAGATATCGAAAAATCAGCTTGTTTTGATAATGTTTTTGGTATAATAAAATTATTTGTTGAGTATTTAGTTTCGCATTTGTGGTTTAAAAAAAAAAAAATAAGTTTGGAAAATGCTTGGTTGCATACCATTTTTAAACTTAAACATGAAAATAAGTATATTATGAATATTTATTTCATAGACATTAGGCAGCCCAATTTCTCTTAGTAGTGGTCTGGCACTAGCGTATTTATTTGCATTTAATATCAAGCGAATTGCTTGTTTTTGTATTTTGTAGATCATATTTAACTTTGAAGGATAAATACTTGCCCAGATAATGTTGCAGTAGCTGATGTAGCTATGAATAAATGCAAAATAAATATTTTTTAAACAATTTGTGTTTAGGAGATGTTTTGTTTTATACATAATACCAATAATTTTTGATATCTTATTTTCTATTACTTTGATATGATTACTCCAGCTAAGATGTTCATTAAGAATTACGCCTAAAAATTTGATTGAGTATTCTCGTTTAAGTTTAGTTTTATCAATTAGTAAATCAGGTAGTTTTAAGGGGAGGGTTTCAGATTTTGATAATTTTGTAAAAAAAATATATTTACTTTTTTCGACATTTAAGGAGAGTTTGTTAGCCTTAAACCATTCGTTCAGGTTTTCAAATTCTTGATTAACAGTGTTACATAATAGGCTAATGTTTGTGTGGCTAAAGAACACTTGCGTATCATCGGCAAAAAGGACAAAGTTAAGTATGTTAGAAGATAAGTAGATATCGTTAATATAAACGAGGAATAATAATGGACCAAGAATTGATCCTTGTGGGACCCCACAAGTAATGTCTTCAAGTCGTGTTACAGTGTTGTTATATGATAAAGCTTGTTTCCGATTATTAAGGTAAGAGCGAAACCATTTTAAATTGTTATTTCTTATTCCATAAATATATAGTTTTTAAAGAAGAATTTCGTGGTCAACAGTGTCAAACGCTTTTGAGAGATCAAGAAATACCCCAAGAGTGTACTTATTGTTGTCAAACCCATTTAAAATTTCATTAACAAGTTTGGCTACAGCGTGTTCTGTTGAATGGTGTTTTTGAAAGCCATATTGGTTATTATTTAGTAGGTGGTGGTTTACTAGATAATTGTTTAGCCTATTGTGCATTATGCGCTCTAATATTTTTGAAATGCATGGCAAAATAGAAATAGGCCTGTAGTTAAAAGCAATCGAATCGTCTCCGCTTTTAAATATAGGAACAACTTTTGCTAGCTTTAGCTGGTCAGGGAACACCCCATTTTTTAAAGACAGATTACAGATATGCAGAAGGGGATATTCAATAATATCGTAGACATTTTTTACAATGTTCACGCTAATGTCATCTAGTCCTGGACTTTTGTTTTCTTGTAAGGTATTAAATGCATTTTTAAGCTCATCCGGAGTTATTTCAAGCTCGTTCATGACTGAGGCTTTTTTTTCTAGATACAGCTTATAACATTTTTTTCCACGAGTTATTTTATTAGCTAGTTTTTCCCCAATTTTTATAAAATAGTTATTAAATTTCTCTGCAATATCTATTGCCTTATTGGCTACTGTATCATTTTCATCTGTTTTTAAGTATTGCGGGAACACTTTGGTAGCATCTTTTTTTTTTCCTGTTACCTCTTTTATTACGCCCCATGTTTTTTAGTGTTACCGCAATAATTTTCTAATAAATTGCAGTAATAGTTTTTTTTTTTGAATGTTTTTTTAATTTTTCAAATAAATTTTTGTATTGTTTATATATTTTTTCGTTTTTAAAAGTCTTTTTTTTCAAAAATTTTTTTATAAAGTTTTTTTTTTTTTTTTTTTGAAGATATAATAAGCCCTTTTGTCATCCAAGGACTTTTAAGGTTTTTGAGTTTTTTTTTCGGAAACGCTTTTTCGTACAAAGTTGTAAAAGTGTGTTTAAAAATATCGTAAGCTGTGTTAGTGTCTTTGCAATTAACAACCTGATCCCAGTTTTCCATTGATAAGTTGCTTCGGAACATTGTTATACTTTTTTCATTTATTTGCCTTTTGTTGTAATTATTGTTTTGTTTTCTTTTTTATTGTTGAAATTGTTAAGCAGAAGAAATATCAGAAAATGGTCACTTATGTCAGATTTTATTATTCCGCTTTGAATACTACATTTTATGGTAGTATTTGTAAATATGCTATCGATTAGGGTAGCTGTTCGGAGAGTTACTCGAGTTGGCTTATTTATTAAGGGTTCTATGCCGTGCTGTAAAAGATTATTTAAAAAGCGTTTGACATTGTTATTAGTTTTTATTTTTAAAAGATCCAAGTTAGTATCTCCCATTATGTATAAGTGCTTATTTTTAGCCAGTTCTAGGTACTGAATTATATGTTTTTTAAAGGATTTTATATTGCCATCTGGTGGTCTATATAAGCCAGTAATATACGCATTTGCTTTACTTTGGTTTGTTAATTCAACCGTGAAAAGTTCACAGTTTGCGTACAGTATGCTTAGGCTTTCTACTTTTTTAAACTGTATTGTATTATGTATGTAGAAACATATTCCTCCGCCAGTACCTCTACTACGAGTTTGATGGAGAGTTTTATAGCCTTTTAATTGAAAATTTGAGTTTATGGTATTTTCGTCTTTGCACCATGTTTCTAAAAGGCATATTACCGTAAATTCGTGATTTATGTCTTTTAGCATTTCTTTAAAGTTTTTGCTCATCTGCGTATATTTAATGTCAGCGCTGAAAAAGTATTTTGTGACGCATTTATAAAACAAGATAATTCTTCGATACTATAGTAATTAGACTTAAAAGAGTCGTTTTCAAAAAAATTTTGTCAGGGTCGTTGTTAATTTTCAGAAGAAGAGTGTTTTCTTTATCAAAAATTTCAAAATATTTTGTTTCCGTCATTGTCATAATTAAAAATTTAACTGCTTAAAAAATTAAATATAAGATATATAAATATATTCATACACGTGTAAAATATAAATATAAGAAAAAAGAGTTTGTTTTTTTTGATATTATTTAATTTAATAATTTTATCGTACCTTAAACCAACATTTTCACCATTATTGCGTCGTTCTTTTACTTCAGCCAGGAGTCTTTTCCTAATATTGACAGTCTCATGGGAAAAATCTTCGTTTAAGTAAATGTTTGTACCTTTTAGTCTATATGACTCTGTTAGAATTTTTGATTTATCATTGTATCTTAACAACTTCATTATAACTGTTCTGGAGCTTCCTTCTTTTCTGGCTCCAGTTCGATGAGCTCGTTCGACTTCTATTCCATTTAGTCCCAACTTATTGACTAAAAATAGTTTAACTTTATCCTCAGTTTCATTCCATGTTTCTTTCACACTTTCTGGTAACCCGTCTATTCTTAAATTATTTCTTCTCGATCTATCTTCAAACTTTCTTAGCTTTTCATTGATATTTTGCGTTGTAATGTTTTCCTTTTCCACTCATCATTGTTTTGTTTGTGGATAGTTGCAATTTTTTTGTCAAAAACTTCATCATGAAAATTTAAGCTCAATTTTATGTCTTTGATATCTTTTACTATTATCTTTATTTTGTTTGCACTTTCTTTAGAGTTTTCTTCAACTTTGTCAAGTCTCTTATTAATTATTTTTGTATTTGCGCTTAAGATTTCTATAAATATTTGTTGTTGTTGCTTAAGCATTGTTTTCATTTCTTTTCTATATTCCAAAAACATTTCCTTCAGCATTTTTTTAATTTCTACAAGAGTAACTGACATTTTAGATTTATCTTTTTTTTAATAATAATTAGTTTATATTTTATTTTAATAATTTATAAAGAGCTGTTAAAAAGCGTCTGTTCACTACAACGTTTCGATCAAATTGCCTTAATTAGATTCTTAATAATCTTAATAATTAGATTCTTAATAATCTAAAGCTTTACTT